GCTAATCTGATGCACTTTTTGCGATGACAGAAAAGTTATGATTAATTACGGAAATGTCACCGCGTCTAGTATAAGTTTTTTACTCCCTCAGTCCCGGATGGAACTTGATATTTCGTTTTGGCACGGTATTTTAGGAGAACAAATATCAAGCCAAGCTTTCCCATCTTGCCCTTCCCTCACTCGCCTAACAAATTCACTCCTTTCCTCTCTTTCTTCCTAAAGTCTACCGCTAGCTTCCATCTTTTACCACAACAACTCTTGATAAATCATACACTTGACAAATTCAAACATCCACTCTTATGATTTGCAATTCAATGGAAGAGAAGCTCTTGTTTCTGCAATTGGGTGATCGATGGGCTGTCGACCGATGAGTGAGGACGAATTGGGATCTCCCGCCACACACATATACATTTGCAGCAGGGGGAGGAGAAGGCCGGTAAAGTATCTTCAAAGGGGCTGTGAGATCAATGGAGTGAATGTGCAAAATTATGGGTAGACCTCGCGAATTTCGGCGTCCACTTCCAGACAGAACAAATGGACACCCTTGCACAACAATGGCGACACAACAAGAAGAGGATGGAGATGACGTCCGGAAGGTTTTGTGCGGAGAATAAAATAGCAGAGGAAGGACCAAGAGCCCATCTCAAATTTTCATCTCCACCGTCCATGCCCATTGGGAGGATACACAGAAGCTTCTGGGGATGTGAAAGGATAAACGTATGTTTAATTGGCCAATTAAATGTAGAATGAGAGTGGTAATGAAGGGTATTTTGGATACTTTAATGTAAAAAGAGTTTCCAAAAAAGGAAACGTAAAGGAGTAAATGGGACGTTCCAAAAAGGAAAGTGTAAATATTTAAATGGGATGGAGGCAATGTTCTAAAAGGCGTAAGGCGTGCCAAGGCGGCACGCCCAAGCCTTAAGCCTTTGAAGCCTAGGAGAGATTAAACGAGGCCTAGGCGTGAAAAGGCGTTCTCATATTTTTCTCATTAATTTTATTTTCTTAAAGTTATTAATAAATATGTAATGTGATATTAAAAAACATCATGCAAATCCATCATAATATATTCATGTTCACCTATAGAGTTGAAACAATACTCCATCAATGTGCACCTACGTACAAAGTTCATACATACTCCATCAATGCTTCAGTTTCCAACCATACAACTGAGTTCTAAAAATCAAAATGATAGGCACGTACAGGAAAGGTGATTGCCTCTATACAAAAAGAACAAAAATTTCCAAAGCAGCGAGTGGACTCTAATATCAATGTGAAGCTATAGAGTTCAAACAATGCTCCATCAATGTGTCAGCTACGTACAGATTTCATACATGCTCCATCAAGTTGTTAATTCCAAAAATAGTCTCTGATCACTTCTAAATCCATCAAGTAAACCCCTGCCATGAAGCTCAAAATGCGGTGCTACCAACCTTCATAGCATCATAAGTTAAATTATAAATATATACATGATCTCGATCTCGTGTCCAAGCAAAAATAGATCTATCATATTTTAACAAAAAAGATAGGGGTTAGCTATTCATAATCTTCTTCATCCATTATAGCTTCCTCTCCATCGGATTCAAAATCTTCTTCATCGGGCTCCCTTATTTCATTTTCTTCAATTGTAGAAGCTCCTATAGTTTCAGCAGTGGTAATGCCATCATCATTATCATCACAACCATCAACGATCCAACCTTGTGCATTTGTAGCATCAAGAGCCTCCAATTTGTCCTTTCTTTTTTTCCTGTTTGCTAATCTTGCATTAAACTGAACATAGACAAGATTCTGCATCCTTGTCGTATCAAGACGATTCCTTTTCTTCGTGTGTATCTTCATTAGAAAATTTTTATTAGTTTTGAAATTTACATGTTCTGAAGTACATGTTCAAAGAAGCAGAGATGTTATATAACAAATCGAGAACTGATAAAAGACTTACTCCTTCAAAAGTACTCCAATTTCTCTCACAACCCGATGAGCTAGTTGTCAAACCAAGTATTCTCTTTGCCATAAATTTCAAATGTGGTGTTTCATTGCCATAGAAATCCCACCAGCTCACTAATCAAATAATCCAAGGATTATTATGCACATAATAATCATAGAAGGACAATGATCATAGAAAACAATTGCAATGAAAATGAGAATAAAATCCATGGATAATGAGTAGGGAAGCAGTGTACTAGAGTACTGGTAGTCTACTAGGTTACCTCAATTCAAGCATTTAATATAAAAAAATTATTACCAAATAATCATATATTAAGTCACTAAATAATTAAGTATTAGTGTACCTGGATTGTAACTTGAATCGTTATTCTTGCATCCATTAATTGCTATGTTCCTTCCAAATGCACCTTCTTTTTGGGAGTACTTATGCAACTCAACATTTATCACATGATCTTGCATATCTTCATTAGGGAAAAACTTCTCAACACATGTGATGAAGTTATTTGTAATCAAACTATTGTCTTTGATACTCGGATTCTTGAAGAAATAAAAGGGGTTTAAAAGATAACTCGATGTATGAAGCGGACTATCGAGCCTATCTTCACTTCTTGAATCCATGATATACAAAATAGGAAGATAATCACATTCCTTCTTCAAAATATCTTTGACATCCTCCTTAGCCCTAAGAAACTCTCCATATACAAATCCCATTGATGGATTGTCATCTCCATCCACAAGTCTGAGAACTTTCACCAATGGAGTAAAAACTCTTAAGCACAATTCCACAGAATCCCAAAACTGATTACGAATAATGGTTTCGTATGCTTCTTTTCCTTTCATAGTTTTGGACAACTTTGTATTATCCCATTCAAGACTAGTCACCATACTTTTCAACTCTTGTTTTTTTTCAAGCAAACTTTGTAAAGTTAAGAAAGAGGATGCAAATCTAGTGACCCCCGGACGGACTATTTCCCTTTGAGTGAACTTTCTCATCAATGCTAGTGTTTTATGATGTGCATAAATGAACACTGTGAATGACTTAGCTCTTTGAATCACACCTTTGAAATTAGGAAGTTTGGAAATTGCTTCAAGCATGAGGTTAAAGGTGTGAGTAGCACACGAAGTCCAAAAGATCCTAGGCCTTTTTAGTGACAGAAAACTTGCAGCGGCCATATTGTTTGAAGCATTATCTGTTACAACCTGAACCACATTTTCTTCTCCAATCTCTCCAATGCACCCGTCAACATATTCGAATATATATTGACCAGTGTGAGAATCGTCTTTGGTATCTTTTGAAGAAAGAAACGTGGTTCCTAGTTTACAGTTCACGCATAAGTTCATAATGCTTCTTTTTTTCCCATCAGTCCATGCATCTGTCATAACAGAACATCCATTAGCTTTCCATTCTTCTTCTTGTTTCTTGAGCATTTCCTTTGTCCTTTGCACCTCAGCTTTCAAAAGTGTTTCTCTCAATTGGTATTGAGAAGGAGGAGTATATCTCGGGCCATATCGACCAAGAGCTTCCACAAACATTTTGAAAGTGTCACTGGTAATGGTATTAAAGGGAATTCCAGCTTCATACACCCATCTGGACAAATATTGATGAACTTCTAAAACCCTTTTCTTATCGATTGCATCATGAATATTCTGCTGTTTCATTTTCTTGCTTGCGCTCATAGACTCATCAGTTATGTTGATTGGCCTTGAAAATTTATCCATATGACCTAAAGTTGAAAAGGTCCTTTTTCTACTCCCTTCTTCAAGTACAAGTGCTTCTTCTTCCTCACTAATTTGTGTAGTCATAATAACATCATCTCTCAATCTGGCATGTCTCAAAATCTTCTCCAACTTCTGAGACTTGTTTTCTTCAAGTGCTTCATGGCACAACTTTTTTTGCTCATCACTTGCATTAGGACACGGTTTAACACCTCTCCCCTTGATCCCTGCTATGTGAAATTTGTGCCTATTTATACCGGCCTTTGTAATTTTTTCACATAGCGTACACCTTACAATATTGAGATTCTTCGGATCAACAAGAACTCCAGTCTTCCACCCAACATCCCCAGAATCACATATTAACTCATTCTGATCCACCGCAGGAGTGTTTGGTTCCATTTCAATTTTGTGAACTGCTAAGAACAAAAAATAAAAAAAATGTACATTGGTTAGATTAAATTAAATTGAGATGTTAGAGGCAACCGTAGGTGTGGTGATTCTTCATTTTAGGCATTTGAGTTTGAATAGTTTATATTAAAAAAAAAGTTGCGGGGCAACAACGTGTTTGGTGTAGCCTTCCTTGAATTCCAATGTTTCCAAGTAGTATAAGAAATATAAACCTACTTTGATTGAAAAGTCAAACATGAAGGAGGGAGCCAAACTCCCAGCCCTGCATTACTTTCTCATTTTCTGTTTCTGTTTTTGCAGGAGATACTTACATCCAGTGAAGTAAAATAAAAACTATTTAACATGATTATAAACTTGGACCAAGAGATAATAATGAGCTGCTCTAAAATCAAATCAAATAAAGTCCAACTTTACGTGGTATGTGTAAAAAAAGAATAAGGAAATAAACCTTGTAAAGAATATGATAAGAATTAAATAAGGATTCTAAAATACTATCTTTCTGTATATACACTTGGATAGAAATATAGAATGACATTGTTAGGATCAGAATTACTTTTATACTTTGAAGTGCAAGGTAGAGCTTTAATCGTTTTCAAGTAAACCTGCTCCATAACATAATCTTCAAGGCTTTAAGTTAAAAAATAGTTGTTATGATAGCAGGTCATGGAGGGAGTAATATTTTTTTGCACTTTCCAGTGCACTTTTTTCCTAATCTGATGCACAGATCTTAAATTGAACGCATCAGATGCATTCTCACTTCTTACGATAATGACTATTCTCATTTGATCCTTATTATATATATATATATATAGATTTTATCAAATTACGAAAATCTCGTGTATCATTAACAGTTAATTTTTTTTTTAGTATTTATTTATGTTTTGTAAGATTTTAAAATTTATTTATGACTCGATTTAATTTAATGATCGGATTTGCCCAGTCAAAAATTTATTTAATTTAAGGGCGTTGAACAATAGAGAGAGAGAGTCGTTGAGTCGGTGTATTTTGCTGACGACGCGGGATTGCATTGACTCTTGAAAAGTCGTCGCCGGTCTATTAGTATTTCTCCGTAGTATATCTATATACTGTACCATATAGCAGAGCAGACATCAATCACCGTTCACGCCGACTAGCTTGAGAGAGAAAATGGAGAGTCTACTGAAGGAGAAGAGGGGGGGAGAAACGGTGCTGGACATGTCGCCGCGATCTACGCCCGGAGGCGGCGTGGAAGACGTATACGGCGAGGATTGCGCCACCGAGGATCAGCTCCTTACTCCCTGGACGACTTCTGTTTCTAGGTGAGACTGTCACCCGACCCGTTGTTATTCTGCTTGCTCTCATATTTGAGTTTTAGTCGTATACTTCCTTAGCTGTTAGACTTGATCTTATCATTTCACAAGATAGGAAAGTTAGTTAGACAACTTCATCCCTCAGGACATGTTTACTTCACGGGTTAGTAAACGGTGCTTATTAAGACTCGCGTTAATAAGCGCCGCATAAACTAAGCAGTGTTGTAAGCTCATGTTTACTTCAAAGGATTTAAAACACCGTTTAACATTAAAATGTCCAAAATAACCCTATAGATATATACACACAAACATTCATTAACACACGTATATAATACTCCCTCCGTCCCTAAAAGGATTGCCAAGTTTGACCGACACGTAGAATAATAAAGTAAAAACTGTGCGGTAGAGATTTGTGAAGAGGAGAGAGAAATAACTGGAGCCACAAATTTATTGATTAAAAGGGAAAGTGGCAAAGTTTTTGGGACAACCGAAAAAGGAAAGTTGTCAAAGTTATAAGGGACGGAGGGAGTATAATATATGGGGTCACCTCGTACGCTTAGTCGCTTAGTCGCTTAGTCAGGGGCGGACCCACGAAAGTCATCTTGGGGGCGAAAATATTTTTTGGGGGTTCAAAATACTTTTTCGGATGGAGAAAATTATTTTTCACATATATATACACTAAAAAAAATTCTTGTTGGGGAGCGGTAACCCCCCTGGGTCTGTACTACGGTCCGCCCTTGTCGCTTACCCACACCTCTAACCCCTACCCCGCCCTGGACCCCCACCCCTCACCCTACCCCCAATTCCACACCCTTGACCCCATCCCTTCCCTACCCCTACCCTTACCACGACCTTACCCTCCACCCCTACTCCCACCCATACAAACCCCCCAACTGGTATGGGTAGGGGTAAGGTGGGGGTAGGGTATGGTTAAGTCAAGGGTGGGGTGGGGTAGAGGTGGGTCGAGGTAGGGGCAGGGGGTAGGGGGTGGGGTCGGGGTAAGGGTCGAGTCAAGGTAGGGGAAGGTGGTAGGGGGTAAAGGGGTAGGGTAAGGGGTGAGGGTGGGGGTGGGGTAGGGCAGGTGGTGGAGGGTAGGGGTGAGTAGAGGTAGGGGTAGGGTCGGGGTAGGCAAAGGCGTAGGGGGTGGGGTCGGGTTGGGTCAAGGTAGGGGAAGGGGTAAGGGTGAGGGTGGGGGTGGGGTAGGTCAGGTGGTGGAGGGTAGGGGTAAGGTGTGGGTGGGGTATGGTCGGGTCAAAGGGGTAAGGTGGGGGTGGGGTATGGTCGGGTCAAAGGTGGGGGTGGGGGTAGGGGCGGGGGTAGGTGGGGTCGGGGTCAGGTCAAGGTAACGGAAAGTGGTAGGGGGTACAGGGGTATGGGTAAGGGGTGGGGGTGGGGTAGGGAAGGTAGTGGAGGGTCGGGGTATGGTGGGGGTGGGGTATGGTCGGATCAAGGGTGGGGTGGGGTCAGGGTGGGGTCGGTGTAAGGTAGGGTAGGGCGGGGTATTGGTCGGGTCAAGGGTGGGGGTAGGCGTAGGGGGTAAAGGGGTAGGGGAAGGGGTAGGGGTGGAGTCGGGTCAAGGTAGGGAAGGTAGTGGAGGGTCGGGGTATGGTGGGGGTGGGGTATGGTCGGATCAAGGGTGGGGTGGGGTCAGGGTGGGGTCGGTGTAAGGTAGGGTAGGGCGGGGTATTGGTCGGGTCAAGGGTGGGGGTAGGCGTAGGGGGTAAAGGGGTAGGGGAAGGGGTAGGGGTGGAGTCGGGTCAAGGTAGGGGAAGGTGGTAGGGGGTACAAGGATAGGGTAAGGGGTGAGGGGGTGGGGTAGGGCAGGTGGGGGTGGGGTATGTATGGGTCAAGGGGTGGGGTGGGGGTCAGGGTGGGGTCGGGGTAAGGTGGGGTAGGGCGGGGTAGTTGGGTAGCAATAGGGTAATGGCAAGGGGTAAAGGTAAGGGTAAATTCGGAAACTGAAAAAGCTTAAAGTGCCGCTTAATTTATACATGGGGGCTGGTATGCTTAGTAAGCGGTACTTTAAGCATCTCTTTCGGTTAGTAAACAGCGTTTTAAGCAACTTGCGTGTTTACTTCACCTGTCTTACTAACCTAACTGTGATTTTAGCAGCGAAGTAAACGCCTCCTTAGTATGTATACGGAGACAACTTCATGTCTATCAGGGCGACCACCACCATTATTGCCCTCACGACCACCAATCATTTTTCTATCAAATTTCCAGTCTGGAAATGCCAAGTTCAATCTGCGCTAGGAATTGAAGGCTATATTAATGGCACACTTACTACTCCTGATCAATTTCTTGATATGGCTAAAACTCAGCCTAATCTGTGTACCATTTGGTATCGCCTTAGTTGTCATGGCGACATCAGGCATTTTTTCATGGCGATTTTCCATGGCGATGGCGCAAATATGGCGTCGCCACGTGACATTAGCACCTCAAATGAAAGAGGCATTTTTCAAAGTTTAGGCATACCAAGATAAAACTATCATTAGTGCCTTACTTGGTAGGTGTTCCGATACTATTCAACCCCTTATCTCATCTGCCCTCACGGCTAAAAGTGCATGGGAGAAAGTTTCACCTACTCAACCTCATAGGTGGAGTCACATTCAATAATAACTTGGTTAGAACAACTGCTCTATACATGACCAAGGCTGTTTTAGAGTGCCCTGGTTTCCCCACCTGCTGCATTGGTCCCACTGTCCTATTCAAAATCCTGCTGAGTCCTTACTCCATCTCCCACAATCATCTGGGATAAGACCCCCCCACATGCCACACTACTCTTACTGCAATTATTTAGATCCCTGATGTATCTTGTATCCATTGACACTGATCCTCCTTTCTTTCTTTTCAACTGTTTGCAACAGTGGCTACAATTTGTTAAGAGACCCTCGTTACAACAAAGGCCTTGCTTTCAAGGAGAATGAAAGAGATGCTCATTACCTCCGAGGTCTCCTTCCTCCTGTAGTTGCTTCCCAGGAGCTTCAGGCATGCTATTCCTATTGTCTAATCTGAACTCACAGCTCATGACCATTTTTTTTCACACTTAGTGTTCTTATACACAGGAGAAGAAGTTTATGCAAACTATCCGCCAATATGATCTTCCCATACACAAGTATATGGCTATGATGGAACTTGAGGTATTCCTCATTGATCTCCTTAATTTGTGTTTTCATTTTGGCTTATTGACCCCTTGATTTATGTTTTTTCTTAACCACACAGGTTATTTAGTTATTTTTTTCTTTACCTTCTTTCTTTCTTTCTTTCTTTCTATCTAAACATGCATATTGACTTGCTAATTTACCGTTTTCCAAGTAAGCATGGATGCTTTAGTTATCATTCTTTTGTGAACAGCTTATTGTTTCTTACAGGAGATGAATGAAAGACTGTTCTACAAGCTTCTTATTGATCATGTGGATGAGCTACTACCAATTGTCTACACCCCAACAGTTGGTGAGGCTTGCCAGAAATATGGAAGCATATTTAAGCGTCCTCAGGGTCTATACATCAGTTTGAAGGAAAAGTATGATTGTTCTCTGTGGCCGAATAGCTAGCCATATTTCCCACACACACAAAAACCTATACCAAATATTTCTGTTATGGACAGGGGGAAAATTCTCGAGGTATTGAAGAATTGGCCAGAGAGGACAATCCAAGTCATTGTTGTAACTGATGGTGAGCGAATTTTGGGACTTGGTGACCTTGGCTGCCAGGTAGGGTTTAGAAATGGATATGTCTTCTGTGATTTCTATATCAAAGTCATATTTTTTTATGACCAGATATTGTATAGTAGTAATTAGTAAGCTTGTTGCATCTGTTTCCTTGTTACAGGGGATGGGAATACCCGTGGGGAAGTTGGCTCTTTATACAGCACTTGGTGGAGTTAGGCCTTCAGCGGTACCAAAACTTGGTAGAATTTGTTTGCACTGTTTTGTAACTAAAGTACGTTCTAACCAGAAGTATTGGTGTACCATTGTCTGTACAGTGTTTGCCTATAACAATTGATGTTGGGACAAACAATGAGCAGTTGCTGAAGGATGAGTTCTATATCGGGCTTAGACAGAAGAGAGCAATTGGACAGGTGAATTGCAGAACTTGATGACTTGCAGGACATTGAGTTGGTCACTATGAATTGATCTTTTGACCAAATATTTAGGAATACTATGACTTTCTGGACGAGTTCATGACTGCTGTAAAGCAAAACTATGGTGAAAAGGTTCTTGTACAGGTCAGTGTTCACTTGAATATAGTGACGCTCTTATATATATATAGAGGAAAATATTCATGTAAGGTAGGCCTAAAATTACAATTTTTAGGCCTCTTTCATTTGAGGTGCTTCCAGGTCGAATATTTTTATGAAATTTTGTGAGCATGTTCTCCATGAAGTGTAGATGTCCACCAAATTTCAGATTAAAATTTAATCGGGAAGTCAGTTAAATAAATTATTCAATAAAATGCATTATATATAAATAATTGTGCAATTTTCAATAATTTATTATATGACTTCCCGAATAAATTTTAATATGAAATTTGGCGGAGATAATCTACACTTCATGGAGAACATGCTCACAAAAATTTTATCAAAAATTTTGGCTTGGAAGCACCTCAAATAAAAGAGGCCTAAAATTGTTAAGTTTTAGGCCTACCTTACATGATCATTATGTATGTATGTATGTAGAATCAGCTTCATTTGTTAATGTGGATGGGATTTAATGTCATTTTCGATCAGTTTGAAGATTTTGCAAACCACAATGCATTTGAGCTGCTGGCCAAATATGGAACCACTCATTTGGTCTTCAATGATGATATACAGGTTTATATATTTAATTTACCAATTAACCTGTTCTTGTTGTCGCTTTTGTTTAGACTTGAGAAAAGCTGTTTCTTCAATTATTTGGACCTCTCCACCTTGCAGGGGACAGCTTCTGTGGTGCTTGCAGGGCTTGTGGCATCACTTAAACTACTTGGGGGTACCTTAGCTGACCACAAGTTTTTGTTCCTTGGTGCTGGAGAGGTAATATTAATTAATTTCCATAACCAATCTGATAGAAAAGTAGACAGTTTGAAAGTAGAACATTATTAAAGTTGAGAATAAACAGTGGGATTCTTAATTCTTAAGAACCAAAAAGTGTCATTAGTTGGTTTATTCTGTGCATAAGTGATAGGAAAGTATTCCAGTTTGTTGCAAAAAATATTGGTGCAGTTTACCTCAAGACAGTGAGAAGCATAAGATTAAAGAACAACATACACCATTTTATCTTTCCGTTTACATTGTCCATGTGAATTATTGTATATGCATGTGTGCACTTGCAGGCTGGCACTGGAATTGCAGAGCTAATAGCTCTTGAGATTTCAAAGAAGGTATCGGACATGTTATTCTCACTGATCATAGGCCCTAAAAACAAAAATCTTCTCATGTTGGTCTGTAACTTGTGTATACTAACTTCTTTATATTATCCTCAGACAGAAGCCCCTATTGAAGATACTCGTAAAAGGATATGGCTTGTGGACTCAAAGGTAGAGGAGGACTATTTGGATAATGAGGCCCCAACACAAAACTTAAAACTACTTTATCTGGGTTCCAAAAGTCTCAGTCACTGAAATTTCAAACCTGGCAAGCCACCGCCCCCTAACAGGGATGTCTCATTTTCAAATAATAATTTGGGCTTATTGGTTTTCCCATCCAAACAAGTAGTAATGTGTGTCTTTGTGATATGTCTGCAGGGGTTGATTGTTAGTTCCCGAAAAGCATCTCTTCAGTCCTTCAAGAAGCCTTGGGCACATGAACATGAACTTATTGACAATCTCTTAGACGCTATCAAGGTTTGTTAAGTACTTATCTATATTAATTCCTGATTTAAGCTGTCTATATGCTCGTGTTTTTTAGTTTCCTTAATACTGATTTGAACAACTGCTGTGCTCTTTCCAAACTTAGGCTATCAAGCCGACAGTGTTAATAGGGACTTCTGGAGTCGGAAAAACATTTACAAAAGAAGTGATTGAAGCCATGGGTGCAATTAACAAGGTACCCTATTCTTAATCAGTACCCATACCTATCCTCTTCGTCATGCAAACTCAACCTGAAAATCGAAGTTCTATATATTGAATTGCATGCATTTGCATTTCAGAGACCTCTTATATTGGCACTTTCCAACCCAACATCACAAGCCGAATGTACTGCTGAAGAGGCGTACAAATGGACTGAGGTGATGCTCTAAGTTTTTCAGAAGACAAAACTTCTTTAACTAGTCGGGCCAATACAATAATAGATCTGCTGATGTTATATGCATTTTTTAAATAGGGTCGTGCAGTGTTTGCAAGTGGCAGCCCGTTTCCTTCAGTAGAATACAACGGCAAACTTAACATACCTGGCCAGGTTATGATACATCAGGAGATTTGCTTTCTTTTACACATAAATTTATGTATAGAAGACCTTTTATGTCATTGAGTATATTGATTTTTGTCCTATGTTGTCTGCACAGGCTAACAACTGCTATATTTTCCCTGGGCTGGGTTTTGGTCTGGTCATGTCTGGTACCATCCGCGTGCATGATGATATGCTCCTAACAGCTTGTAAGTGTGCAGCAATGGGGTCTAAAATGAATTTCAGTTGTCTTAAAAAAACAATAGCAACATCCAAGCCTTAGTTACAATAGTAATAATATACTACACAAGTACGTATCATGCATTTCACGCTGGTTAGAATTAGAGGAATAGATTCCTATGGCTGCTTTTAACATTCTTTTATGCATTAATTACTATGAGAACAGCTGAGGCTTTGGCCAGCCAAGTAACTGAAGAACACTATGCGCAAGGAATGATTTATCCTCCTTTCACAAACATCAGGAAGATATCTGCTCATATAGCTGCTAGCGTTGCAGCTAAAGCATATGAACTTGGTACGTATAGAATTGCAAAAAATCATCCATCATTTTTTGTTCGACATTAATCAGAAGCCAGGATTAATAGACATAGTTTACTGTAACGAACTGCCTGTGAAAAAAACTTCAGGTGTTGCAACTCGTCTTCCTCGACCTGCGGATTTAGTGAAGTATGCTGAGAGTTGCATGTACACGCCCATCTATAGAAACTATCGTTGAATTAGGGTGCAGCTAGCAGTCGTCTCAGCTCAGAGTGATCAAGTAATGACACCAAATTATCATGATTCAAGTAGCGGAGAAGGTATAGGATTGGGGCCAAGTCAGACAAGGTCCTTGAATTTGTTCATTCCCCTCTATACATCCCCACTAAATCGATTCCAATACTTCTTTTTGTTTGATCCGTATGTGTGTTAAAATAGAAGGTGTCTTTCTCATTAAATTAAAATAAGAATAAATAAGGTGCATTTAATTATGGGTTAAATGGTTATATAGCTTAAATAAACATGATAAGACAAATAAATAACCTATATTATGCTTTTTAAGTGCATAACACTTTTGTGGTTAATGTGAGGCGACGTAATTATAGTTCACTTGTGCAACTGTCTGTTTTTATCCATTTAAATAAGTTTTTTTTGGAAGAAATAGGCTTATATTGATATCACCTCAGAGTTAATCACCTCAATAGAAGCAAAATAACTTGCTGATCCATTAATGGACACAAAAGAGCCAAAGACGGTTACCCCAATTAGGGGTGGACTCGGGCCGGGCCAACCAGCCCGGAACCGGACCGGCCCGTTACTGTGCGGGCCCGGACCGGTCCGTTACTGTGCGGGCCCGGACTGGCCCGGTGAACTGGTTGGTTGGCCAGTTTGAGCCACCCGGCCCGGTGGGATCTCGGTTCGGGCTCGGGCCCTCCAAAATGTGAATCGGCCCGGCCGGTTCGGGCCCGGGTCGGGCCAATTTTATTATTATTTTTTGAGTTTTTTTTTTAAGTTTTTGGGTTGGGCTGGGTATTTTGGGCCATTTGAGGTGGTTAGGGTTGGTTTGGGGGTGAGGGTGAGGGTTAACTAGGAAAAGCCCAAAAAAAAAATGTAACTGAGGCCCGGCCTGGCCCGGACCCGGCGGTTACTCGGGCTGGTTCTGGGCCTCCCATACCTTGAACCGAGGCCCGGCTGGTTCAAGGCCCGAACTGAGTCCATCCCTAACCCCAATTCTCTCATCCCTATAGTCATGGACTCGGGCCGGGCCTAGGCCCAGTCAGGCCGCCAGTTTGTATGACATGGGCTCGGGACCGGTCCGAGGGTTGGACAGGTCCGGTTCGGGCCGGGCCACCTGCCCGGGTCACGGGTCGGGCCACCCGCCAGGCCGGGCCGGTTAAAGATTTTTTTTTATAATTTATATTTTATACTTTATAGTTTTATACAAGTATTAAAAACAAACTTCAAGTGCATTTATTTGAAATGAAATAGGAACTACATTTGAAAATTAAAACAAACTTCAAGAGACAAACATTTTGTAAATTGTAATCAATCGGAACTTCCCGCACCTCCCGATCCTTTGGCTTTGTCTAGGGTTGGACTCGAGTCGGGTGGCCCGACCCGGAACCGGCCCGGGACCGGTACTGTTCCGGCCCGGCCCGAACCGGTGGCCCGGTCCGGGTAGGCCCGACCCGGTGGGTTTCCGGTTCGGGCTCGGGTCACCCATAACAAGGCCCGGCCCGGTCGGGCCCGGGCCCGGTTCGGGCCAAATTATTATTTTTTTGGTTTTTTTCATTTGTTTGGGCTCCACCGGGTTGGGCTTGATGTTTAGGAGGGGTTTGGGGGTGGGGGGGTGAGGGGGGGGGGGGTCAGGGATGGGTTGCTAAGCAAAAAAAAAAAAATTAACCAAACCCGAGGCTCGGCCCGGCCTGGACCCGGACCGGCCTGGACCCGGACCGGACTCGGTGGCTACCCGGGCCGGTCCCGGGTCCAGCTATATAGAACCGCTGGCCCGACCGGGCCTAGGCCCGGCCCGGGCCCGACCCGGCCCGAGTCCAACCCTAGCTTTGTCACATGACTTAATATGCTTCATTGTCATCTCGTATCTGCCTGAAACCTCCATGCTACATTTTTTCCCGCACCATTTGCAAGTTGCGTACCACATCCCGGTCTTCGGGTCCTTCTGCTTATCAAAATTATACCGTATAACGGCATCTTGACTTTCCATCTTAAAAAGTTAAAAATGGTAGATATAATAATCCTACAATAGATGGAGATGAAGATGGAGATTGGAGAATGGAAATTAGAGATTGGAGAAGATGTGTATAAAAATGTTAGAAAATAAGAGTATTTATAGAATTTTTTGTACCCCCACCCCCAACGGCTCTATGCCTCTATAATTTCAAATTTCAAATTTCAAATTTCAATAGAGCCGTTTGTGGCTTTTGAATTTTGATTTCAATTTTTTTTGTATCTTTTATTTTGAATAAATTACATAATGTAAAATTAATTAATTAATTTTATGAATTCAAAAAAAAAATGCTAAATATAAAAAAATGAACGTATATTTATTTGAAATATGAACTACAAGTTTACAAAATTACAAGTTACAATTGAGAATTGAAGGTAAAATTAAAACATGAAATACTAATCAATCATTTAATCGGAATCTCCGGCATAGGCCATAGGTAGAGCCACCCTCGGTTGTAGATTCATTCATAAAGTGTTGGGATGGGGTGATGTCAATTTCTTGAGCTCTACGGGCTGATTTCAATCAATCGTGGTAGCATATAAGCATCTCAAGAGATTCTGCGCTCAACCTCGTTCTAGTTTCACGAATAAATTGGTTTGAGGTAGGTTTATAAACATGACTAAAAGTTTCAGTTACATTATTAAAATATATCAAAGCATTACAATTTTTTTCACAGGTGTCGATCTCAGCCGAGTTTATAATATAGTTATCATATTGTTTCATAAAACCAGGAAAATGTTGTTTATATCTAAGAAAAACTCCAATTAACATATAAGTACTATTCCAACGTATAGACAAATCTTTAGGAAAAGCCACATATATCGGTGGGCGTAGCTCAACTGGTAGGAAGGGAGTGCCACAAGGGTTAGGTCCCGGGTTCGAATCTCGGCAACTGCGATGAGGGGTTACTATGCTAAAAAATGCATAGGGTCTCTGCAAGTACCGGGGACAACGCCCAACTCTCTATCTGTCAGATTGGGATTATAGTCCAACTTACATCCTCCCAACGTACTGTCCGGTCGGGGTTGGGGGCCCTCAGGGATGGGGTGTCATCCTTTTTTTATAGGAAAAACCACATATCTCTCACCTCTTTCTATCAAATAATCATGCGATTTTTTCCTAAGTTGTCCATTACCCCAAATACGTCTAATCCCCCTCTTGATTACCTCCAACAATGCTCCCAACGTTTTTAGACCATCTTGCACACATAAATTTAGAACATGACATGCACATCGTTGATGAAAAAATCTACTCATCAAAGAAGTAGAACCACACAATTTGAAATTTGACCGTTAGACCCGGACCCGGACCCGGGCCCGACCCGGCCGGGCCGGGTCAACTTTTTCCGGAACCGAGCCCACCCCGCCCATCCCCGCCGGTTCGGGTCTACACCCGGTCACGGACCGCCAGTCCGGGCCAGTCCTAGGCCCGCACAGTAGCGGGCTGGGCCGGGTCACGGGCCGGGTGGCCCGAACCGAATCCACCCCTATCCCTATATCCAAATCAAACGTCTTATAGCAAGGAATCCAAAAACAAAACAAAACACAAGATGAAAAACAAAATCTAGAAAGATAAAAATAAAACTAATAAACTTGAGCTGGTGTTCGAGCATGTTGATCTGCACAAGCACCCAAATCTTATTCTTCTGAAACTGAATCCATTTGGGTGAACTTACTGGTCGAATTCTGCCACCTCCCCGTTTTTTGTTTCATCTAGAGCCATATTATCTTTGCCACCCTGCCCTTCCCCCTGTTTCTCCCATAGTCTCTTTCTCTTTTGCTCCCCCGTTGTTTCATCCTTGCCCTCATCCCCATAATCTGCAACTGACTCTCTTCTTCCACCCCCAACTTGTCCTCAGACCTATTACCCTCTCCATACATCTGGTCCTTGCCAGAGCTCGATGAACCCTCCAATAACCATTGGTTTCCCCTGTAGGACTCGTCTTCCCTTGCTACCAGCTCTAAGCTGGACTCCATATTTCTTCTTCAGAACTAGACCTTCTTCATAGTTTAAACTTTAAATGACAGAATTTATTTGAATGACCAATTAACCTACAAATAAAGTAGAAGTTGGGTAACTTTTCATATCTGAAGTTTACCCAATAACTCTTACCATCTTTCTTCAAATTAGTACCTCTTTTCGGGGCCACATTCATAAAAACTCTTATTCTCATATAGGCCTCCCACTTGTCACTATTTTGATTATCATCATATTTTATGAAGTTCCCTATAAAATTTCCCACCTTTGTGGCAGTATCTAAATTAACAAGACTATAGGGAACATTGTGGATTTGAACCCAAAAATCTGCCTCATTGAACACAATTTTATGTAGGATGTCATCAGGTCTAACTTCTTTCAATAACAACAGATTACGTTCAAATTGCCAAGGTCCTCCCTCAAGAACACGATTCATATCCACACGATGATAGAAAGTAAACAAGTACCTTTTTCCCCGACTTCTTTGACCGAGAGACCTTTGGCTGGCCTCCATAGCGAAGCCATAAGCTCTTTGATAGCTGGAAATCTGACCTTGCGGTCTGTCAGCAGGACTCCTATCACCGGAAAGCCCGGCCTGTTTTCTTCTACTGGCGGTTCCTCTGACTCCGTATCGTCAAGATCCAAATCCTCATCCTCTTCCTCAAGCGCCATTTTTCTATACTGATCAACAACACCTTCCATGCACAACCCCTTCGCCTTAGCTTACTCTCGGGATTATTTCCGGTCGCTTTCGCCTCCAACTGGTTCGTGAAACTCATCCAAGATGGAGATCCGTGGCTTCGTAGCCCTTCCGTCGAGAATTCCAGAGAAAATCGCCACACAAGAACAAAACGAATTAAAGCTTCAAACAAAACTCGTAAATAATAACCTTGCTCTCCAAACGGCTTACCAGTAGCGCTAAGAGGCCCCTGGTATCACCGGCGGCGGCAGACGGCGCTAGGCGTTACCGTGCGGTAACCCTAGAGAGAGAAACTCCTTCGGAATTAACTATCTTACTTATTTAAATAAGTTAATTAGGCTATTTGTTGAATTTATACAAATATGTGACATAAACATAACTGCACATATTTAAAGTTGTATATACACCCAAATATTCCTTTAATTATTGAATCAATGGCTCTATATATATAAAATAAAAAATACATCAAACAGGTACCTAATGGATCCCTAATTGATCTTTAATTCTTTACCGTTGTTATTACGCTCCTTGTGTCCCCCAAGTTGACCTTTCAATTTGCTGTGAATTGAACTCTATTTTATTGCGGAGTATTAGACTATGATTATTAGCTTATTTTATCCCAAACTATCATCAAATTCTCAAATCTATTCTATTCTTTTACATTTATCACAAAAGATTCAAACATCATCTTTT